GTTTTACCGATAAAAAATATGCGCATGAGCCGTGACCTGCAAGAAGAAGAAAAAAAGAAGAAGAAGGAAAAGAAGAAGAAGGAAAAAAAAAAAAGAAGAAAAAGAGGAATTCCAGTCCGCTATTATATTTGACATGAAAAAGTCTTGCGGATGCAACAATGTATCTATTTGTATCTGAATAAAACCATCTGTATCTGAAATGGATATACAAATGGATACATTGTTGCAACCGTAAAACTTTTTTATGTCAAATATAATAGTGGAGCTCTCTGCAAGGGACAGAAGTCATTAAATGCCGGCCGTAGACAGGACGAAAATCAGCCGATTTTTTTTTTACCGATGGAGGTAACGTCGGCCTATTGAATGACCTATTTTTCGTTTTAGTTTTTTTTTTAAACAGACAGTTTTTGACCCGTCTATGGTCTGCATAATGTGTGTGTTTTTTTTCTCACAGATGGTAGGGTGTGGGTCCTGCCCTGAAGTCTAGGGGGAGGATGTGTGGCCTTTTGGTTCCTTCTTCCCCTGTTCTTGGGGGGGGGGGGGGGGTCTCTCTTCGGGAATGCCCCAACCTACTACTTGGTGGCTGGCTTCGACTAGCCATAAGGAAAGAGGTCTGCCAGGCCTTTTGGCTAGGCAGACCATGTGGAAACCTCAGTCCCTGCAAGGAGCCTCGCGTCCCGGGGGATCAGGGTAGAGGTCCTAGCCTTCGGGGGGTGGACAAAGCACACCCTTAGGTGCACTTTTTTGTGTTGGCGTTTTGCACTTGCACATTTTTTGTTCACTTACGGGTTTTTCGTTTTTTCGCACTTCCACGGACAATAAAAAAAGAAAAAAAAAACTGGTTCTACTGGGGAAGAATCTGAAAAGCCCAATGGGTAGATCCAATAGGTAGATCAAAACCCAATCACCTATATCTTGTATAAGATTTAACATGTTAACCCCTTCCAGTCCAGCCCTAGCATCCCTTTAACTGGGCTATTACTCCCAGGGGGCGGGAAGTTCTGCATAATGATGTGACACATGGCCGGTAACGAGTCCCACTGCCTCCCAATCATTACTATAGACCGGGAGCTGGTCTCTGACAGCTCGGTCATCGTGCTGAGAGCGCACAGTGAGGACATATGTGCAGCGTATGGGCAACAAAGCACACCCTCTTTGACTATGTAGATATGGGTTATGTGGGCAGAAACAGGTTATAGTCCTCTCAAAAGTAATCTTCCATATTTTTAGGCCTCATACATGCTGGATGCTTTGATTATCTCTCCTAGATGCCTTTCCTCCTAGCAGCGGTGTTTTGTCAGGAACACCACTTGAGGTGTGTGTTCAACTACAAACAAAAGAATGCAATGTTTAGGAGTCACGCAGAACCCCTGTAGTGCAGGGACTATCTCATTGACACACAGAGGCGGCTCGAGAACGAGCATGTACAAGTGCCCCCAGAGCAAGCAGCTTGCTGTGGGGGCCCTCAGAAGGGGGGAGGGGCCTAGAGCACCAGCGAGGGGCCTGAGAAGATGAGGATTGGGGCTGCTCTGTGCAAAACCATTCCACAGTACAAGTAATTATGACGTTTGTTGGTAAAAAAAACCCGAACCTTTACAATCACTTTAAAGTAATTTCAAAAGTGATTTTCTATATTTTTAAGCCTCATGCACAGTAGACGCATCTCTCCTAGACACATTTCCCACTGCGCACACAACATTTTAGCAAGCTGTCATTTAGTTATCAAACATAAAATCGTGCAGCGCTAAGGTGAACATATATATGATGTCCAAAGGGACAATATAATACCAATAGAAGTGACTAATATTAAACCAATGATTAGAAATAACTCAATGAATTTGAAAGTTCCAATATGGTGACTTTAGTGCATCTTGGTCCAGCAAGTAGTGCTATAGTGGTGTAAGAAATGCGCACTCACCGGATGCGCATAGTAATAGCACTTTAATATAATTAATCCAGATGTCATCTATTGGAACCTGGTGCTGAAAGATCTTCCCTCTATGGGATGGGTCATCAGGTAATGTGCCAAACACTATGGATCCTTATTCCTTCCCGGGGTAGTATCAACAAGTATCCGTGAGGAATATCAGCCTGTCCAAGGATGGCGGGTCTATGGATTTAAAGTGCTCCTCCAAGGGGTGGAAACAGGGACACTCCCATAGTGTAGTAGGTAAATACAGAAACTTTATTGTTGAGGCGTGATGTGGCTCCTCCTGACGCGTATCGTGTCAAAACACGTCCTCAGAGGGGGGGTCGCCAGTCTAAGGACGTGTTTTGACATGATACGCGTCAGGAGGAGCCACATCACGCCGTGACGTCACGCCGCCGGAGCAACGTGGAGCTCTGGCGGCCATCTTTAAATACCTGACGGTTAGTCATACTGCTGTCTGGATTATACCCACTATTTTATTCTTACTGTTTTGATGCATCAACAATAAAGTTTCTGTAACCAAAAAAGAAAAAATATAAAAGTGAGCGCTCTAAACAGCAGCCAATGCACCCAAGGTAATCACAGCAAAACCTTCAAAATACACAAAAATATAAGAAGTGCGGCGCTACGAATATATGTCCCAGATAATCTAAAACACAATATGATATTTAAGCAGAGATAAAAAACAATGCATCAGATAAATGATAATGTCCAAGCAAATAAACGCAGGATCTTGCATAGAAGTTTAGAAAAACCAGGATCCAACGGTAAAATTGCGCACTCACCGGACGCGCTATAAAAAAGCGCATATGTAGTATGACCCCTGGAAATCCCTCATCAAGCGGGGACGATAGATATCCAGTTTCGTGCTCCAGCACATCCCATCCCATGCTGGAGCACGAAAGGCCTTAGGAGGAGCCAGCAGAGCGTGACATTTTAGCCGCCTGGAGCCACGAGCAGGCCCAGCGGCCATCTTACTTTTGGGAAATCCTATTACTCATCTTGACCACCGGAGGGAGTTCCTCACTTATCATTCACCCAGTCTAAAGGGGATTTTTGGATCTGGAAGCAGTCCATTACACCAAGATCATCTGTTCCTGGATGGATATCTATCGTCCCCGCTTGATGAGGGATTTCCAGGGGTCATACTACATATGCGCTTTTTTATAGTGCGTCCGGTGAGTGCGCAATTTTGCCGTTGGATCCTGGTTTTTCTAAACTTCTGTGCAAGATCCTGCGTTTATTTGCTTGGACATTATCATTTATCTGATGCATTGTTTTTTATATCTCTGCTTAAATATCATATTGTGTTTTAGATTATCTGGGACATATATTCATTAGCGCCGCACTTCTTATATTTTTGAATAAAGTTTCTGTATTTACCTACTACACTATGGGAGTGTCCCTGTTTCCACCCCTTGGGGGAGCACTTTAAATCCATAGACCCGCCATCCTTGGACAGGCTGATTTTCATCACGGATACTTGTTGATACTATCCCAGGAAGGAACAAGGATCCATAGTGTTTGGCACATTACCTGATGACCCATCCCATAGAGGGAAGATCTTTCAGCACCAGGTTCCAATAGATGACATCTGGAATAATTATATTAAAGCGCTATTACTATGCGCATCCGGTGAGTGCGCATTTCTTACACCACTATAGCACTACTTGCTGGACCAAGATGCACTAAAGTCACCATATTGGAACTTTCAAATTCATTGAGTTATTTCTAATCATTGGTTTAATATTAGTCACTTCTATTGGTATTTTATTGTCCCTTTGGACATCATATATATGTTCACCTTAGCGCTGCACGATTTTATGTTTGATACTTTAATTTATTAGGCTATTGGTTACCCATTGTGTGCATAGCTGCTTTTATTTATTTTTCTCCTAGGCGCTCACTTCTCTCTCTACATGTCATTTAGTTATAGTCTATATCTCTATACCTACTTTAACCTGCATTCTCTTATACATTGCAGCCAGATACAAGTAAGCTCCCATGCAGGGGCGTATCTACCGTGAGGCAAACAAGGCATTTGCCTTGGGAGGCACTTTACAGGGGGGGCAGCACTGACTCCAGGCACAAGGGACACACGTGGGTGTGAGCGCCAGGGCCACCATCAGAGGGGCAGCCGACACACAAGTAGGGGGACCAGCTGCAGAGGAAGGTTGAGTAGTGGTAGATTCCCGGTGTGCACAGGAAGCAGAGGCCGGGGCCCGCTGTCAAGCAGGCTTTGCAGGGTTGGTGAGATCAGGGGGTGCCAGCGGAGGGCCTGTGGATTAGGAAGAAGAAGAGAATGAGGTAGTGTGGAGGAGCCCCCCAGCGCTTTCTATTGCAGTTGCCAGGGAGATGGAATACAGGCTCAGCTACTGCTCCTGGCACCAGATCATGATATCATCTGGAGGAGCCACATCTGTGCTTCCCCACTTCTGTCACGCTGTCCCCGTCATGCTGCCCCCTTCCTGTCCTACTGCCCCCCTCCTTTCCTTCTGCCCCCTACCTGTCCCACTGCTCCCCTCCTATCACGCTGCCCTCCTCCTGTCCTGAAGAGGTGGATCTTAAACAGGAGACAAATTTAGATGTGGGGGATGCCAGATTTTAGTCTTGCCTAGAGCAGCACAAAATCAAAATACATCACTGCTCCCATGTGCATTTTGTAGGTGTGCTTCTGAAAGTCGTTCCCGTGTCATCAGAAGGGGAGTCCTGCGCTACAAGTGAAGCCTCAGTTTTGATTACTGTGTAGCTTTAAAGGATAAGTTCACCTTTCTTACAAAAATAATCGTTTAAATGCACCTTTTTTTGCAGGTAAAAAAAAGTCCATTTATTATTTTTGTCTGCTGGAGCCTGGAAAGGATTGCACCAGCGAGAAGTAGATCGCTGATGCCATGGAGCGCTCCTGCAGACCTGTCAGACTATCTGCTTGCTGTACGATATGTAAGAGCAAGCAGATTCTGACAGGAAGCTTCAATGAACCACCACGGTGCAGTGGAAGTTCACTGAAAACTACAAGCCCACAGCCACTAAGGATGCCGGGACTTGTAGGCACCAGGGGCGGGCTGACAACTCATTGAGCCCCCGGGCAATAGGGGATCATGGGGCCCCTGTCTCCTTGCCCAAACTCAAAAAAGCCTATAAAAAAAGGTACCAGGGGCATCTCATGGGGCCCCCCACTGACCCCGGGCCCTCTCGGGCAGTGCCCGAGTTTCCAAATGGTCAGTCCGACCCTGCTAGGCACTCATTCACAGAACTCTGTGAATGAGTGACGTGGCTGTGTGGGCGGAGTACCGCATTGCCACGCTGTTTTCAAATCTGACAGATAGTGCGGGGAAACATTTCCTCATACGATCTGTCGGGGGGGGGTATCGGGCGCAGCTGCAGCTATAGCAACATGTCTCCAAAGGTGAACTTATCCTTTAAATGAGAATTCTGGTCAAATAATTTAGGAAGAGAACTGCAAGACTAAGGGACTGTTCACACTTGACTTGCTGACTTAACAAACACGCAATGCTCTTTAATAAGTGTTTTTCACACTGCACCACAAACACCTACTGGATGTTTTTCAGTGGCGGCCAAAGAAGAAGGAGTGATGAGTTGAGTATGGAGTGCTTGAAGGAAGACTACACACACAAAAATCAAAGATGACAGGGTCTCTTTAACCATCCACAATGGTGAAGAGGGATACCAGTACCTAACTGCAGCTGCTCTTTGTCTGTGATGTTTTCCAGGCTGGTCTTGAAGATGGTGAGGTATGCGGCTCGACAGGATACATAGAAATTCTCATCCTCATTCTTCTGGGCTTTCTGGTTCTCTATACGCTCTTCAATGGGGAACCTTCTGCTTGTAAGTGATGGGGCACTTCCATAAAGACTCTCCATTCTACAAATGACAAAAATATTATTAGTCAAAACTAGGACGGGACAATGATGTAACTTACCAACCAACAACCACTACTGCACAATCATACAACTGTCCCAACCAGAAACCGGGACCAGAAAAATCATACAACTGTCCAACCAGAAACCGGGACCAGAAAAATCATACAACTGTCCAACCAGAAACCGGGACCAAAAATCATACAACTGTCCAACCAGAAACCGGGACCAGAAAAATCATACAACTGTCCAGAAACCGGGACCAGAAAAATCATACAACTGTCCAACTCCAAGAAACGGGACCAGAAAAATCATACAACTGTCCAACCAGAAACCGGGGACCGGAAAATCATACAACTGTCCAACCAGAAACCGGGACCAGACAATCATACAACTGTCCAACCAGAAACGGGGACAATCATACAACTGTCCATCCAAAAACTGGGACCGGACAATCATACAACTGTCCATCCAAAAACTGGGGACCGGACAATCATACAACTGTCCAACCAAAACTGGGACCAGACAATCATACAACTGTCCAACCAGAAACCGGGACCAGACAATCATACAACTGTCCAACCAAAAACCAGGACCAGACAATCATACAACTGTCCAACCAAAAACCGGGACCAGAAAAATCATAAAACTGTCCAACCAGAAACCAGGGCCAGACAATCATACAACTGTCCAACCAGAAACCGGGACCAGAAAAATCATAAAACTGTCCAACCAGAAACCGGGACCAGACAATCATACAACTGTCCAACCAGAAACCGGGACCAGACAATCATACAACTGTCCAACCAAAAACTGGGACCAGAAAAATCATAAAACTGTCCAACCAGAAACCGGGGCCAGACAATCATACAACTGTCCAACCAGAAACCGGGACCAGAAAAATCATAAAACTGTCTAACCAGAAACCGGGACCAGACAATCATACAACTGTCCAACCAAAAACTGGGACCGGACAATCATACAACTGTCCAACCAGAAACCGGGACCAGAAAAATAAAAAACTGTCCAACCAGAAACCAGGACCAGACAATCATACAACTGTCCAACTAGAAACCAGGACCGGACAATCATAAAACTATCCAACCGGAACCCAGGACTGGACAATCGCACAACTGTCCTACCGGAAACCAGGACTAGCAATCGTTCAACTGTTCAACCGCAAAGAAGGACTGGACATTAATACAACTGACCAGCCAGAAACCAGGACTGGACAGTCACACAACTAATAAGCCAGAAACCAGGACTTGACAACTATACAACTGTCCGAATGGAAACCAGGACTGGGCAATTGTACAACTGTGCAATTAGAAACCAGGACTGGACAGTCACACAATTGACCAGCAAGAAACCAGGCTTGGACAACCATACAACTGTCCATCCAGAAACAAGGACCGAACAATAGTTCAATTGTCCAAATGGAAACCAGGACCAAAGTAATCGTACAACTGTCCAACCAGGACCAGAAAATACAAATGTCCAATACAAATGTCCAAGTAAACAACATCATGAGTTCTGCATCCTCCTAGAGCAGAATGAAAACTCCTCCTACATGCTTTAACCAGTGCTCAGCTGGACACTGATAGAAGTCACAAGACTGCTCTAACTGCTGATGAGCTGCAGCCTTTAGCAAACAGACATTTTGAAGTAGATGATGACCCTGGATGATTCCTTAACAAAGACAGCACTGTTCCTCTAGAGCAGGGGTGTCAAACTCAATTTCATGGCGGACCGCATCAGCATTATGGTTTCCCTCAAAGGGCCGGTTGTATCTGTAAGACTAGATGTCCACAGTACCCCACCCTCCCTTACATCACAGTGCACCCCCCTTACCTTGTGCTGATGCCAGGAAGAAGCTAGAGGCGGAGCTGGGAAACAGAAAGTGCAGGGTCTGGAGGAGGACCAAAGGAGGGCTGGAGTCAGCTGCTTAAGTCTGCAGGGGAGGTAGAGACAAGGGATGCTGCGGCTGCACAGAGATGTGCAGGATCTGTAGGAGGAGTTCTGTCCTCCTCTCTGCTGCCAATTGCTGAGACCAAGGGTGTGGGGTTGCAGAAATGAGCTTCTCTCTGACTGCATGGAGAAGAGCAGGATCTGGCACAGGAGATCTGTCCTCCTCTCTTCTGTTGACTGCTGAGACAAGGGGGAGACAAGGGAGTGCCGCAGCTGCAGGAGGTCTGATGGCCACATGAAATGGCCTGGAGGGTCAGATTTGGCCCTCAGGCCTTGTGTTTGACACCTGTGCTCTAGAGAGAAAAACAGATGAAGGCATTGTCATGGGGAGTAATGTGATCTCTATGATGGGGCATCCAACATTCTACAATTGTCGCCAGAACAGGAAGTGAGGGGAAATCTTCCAGTGGAAACATCTGTTCTGGTGAAAAGAAGAGGGACTGAATTTGTAGATTTCTTCTTGCTACCTGCTGCATCTTGTAGACCGGAAATGAAAGGAAATTTCCCCATCAGGACACCGACAGCCAAATAAATAAACTGACCGGGGTTATGCCCCTCTACTCAAAACTAAATATAAAAACATTTGGCTAATCAGATCAAACTCACAGATGTATCAAATATTTTTTTTCATTTTGAATAGAGTATAAGGCAGGGTTATAACCCTTGTCAATTTTTTTTTTTTCACCATCTGTGTCCCACTGGAAAGATTTCCATTCACTTCCTGTCCCATAGCCAAAACAGGAAGTGAGAGGAAATTCCTGCAAATTAAGGGAATTCCTTGGAGACCCCAAGGTCACCAGAACTAGTGTCCCCATTGGAAGATTTCCGCTCTGTTACTTTTATGGGGGCAACCCAAAATGTGATGATGACCAATGATAATGGTAACCAGGACAAATAGAGAGGGGAATCTCCCTAACGGGGGCACAGAAAGCAATAAAAACTGACAGGGGTTCTAATCCCTCTCCACTTTTTCATAAAAGTAAAAAAAGTTTTGCCTTTAGTTATACTTTAAGTCTATAGCAGGGGCGGACTGACAACTCATGGGGTCCCTCGGACAATAGGGGATCATGGGGCCCCTGTGTCCTCGCCCACACTCAAACCACTCCCAAAAAAAGCCTAAAAGAAAAAAAAAAAAAAAAAAAGGACCTGAGGCATCTGATGGGGCCCCCTACTGACCCCGGGCCCTCGGGGAGTGCCCGAGTGTCCGAATGGTCAGTCCGCCCCTGGTCTATAGTTTTCTTTTTCTATACAGTAACGTTAGAACATATTAAACAATGCACCAGCCAACGTAATTGAAGCACATTACAAGTACACGGCATGCCATATGACCTAATGTGACACCCAGCCTGGACTGCGCTGCATCTGCCGGGGTCCGCTGTCTTGTGATGTTGCAGCAATAACATTTTCATAGGCTGTTCCTTTGATGTCCCATCTGCACCGTTTGATCCTCTCCATGTGTTTTGTTCCCGCGTGGTGTTTGTTGTCTGTTTATCTTGGGAATTGCTTTGTGATCCCATCAGCTTCATTAAATGTCCAAGGGTTTCCTTTGATTGTAATTTTCATATCACTTTCAGCCACGTGCTCAGATATGTTGGCAGGACTGTTACAGTGTTACGGTTAATGTTGAACTCCGGGCACAAAAACTGGTATTTATATATATTCCGCAATAGCCACAAAGCAGGGAAACTCGGGCACTGCCCGAGGGCCTGGGATCAGTAGGGGGCCCCATGAGATGCCCCTGGTACCTTTTTCATAGGCTTTTTTGAGTTTGGGCAAGGACACAGGGGCCCCATGATCCCCTATTGCCCAGGGGCCCCATGAGTTGTCAGTCCGCCCCTGGTGCCTACAAGTCCCGGCATCCTTAGTGGCTGTGGGCTTGTAGTTTTCAGTGAACTACCACTGCACCGTGGTGGTTCATTGAAGCTTCCTGTCAGAATATCTGCTTGCTCTTACATCTCGTACAGCAAGCAGATATTCTGACAGGTCTGCAGGAGCGCTGCATGGCATCAGCGATCTACTTCTCGCTGGTGGGGGCCCAATGAGTTGTCAGTCCGCCACTGCCACAAAAGATATACATCCAATTGGTTTGCAACAAATGCCTTTATAACCCAGATATTACCTGGCAAAAGTAGCAGTGACATCATCCCCCCACCCACTACAGGCTGCCTGCAGAAAACTACAGGAGGGGGGCAGAGACAAGACCAGTCCTCCTGCACAAGGAGAGAGAGCAGCAGTGAGCGGTCTTTATTACAGGAAGCTCCTGCACAGAGGGAAAGTCTCACAATGGATGACTGTACAGATCTGGAAGAAATACACAAGCACACCAAGAAGGAAGAATACACACGACGAATGGATATAGACAATATTTGCCTATTGCAGAGTCTGGAGTAGACCAGTCAGTAAAGCCCAACTCCAGAACGACCCCTTTCCCCATCTCCAGCAAAAACCCCACTTCCATGTTCAGAATCCCCCACATACCGATTTTCCGTTCTTCAGTCCATTGGTGGACATTACAGTTCCTCATGCTCTAGCACAGGGATGTCAAACTGGCGGCCCTCCAGCTGTTGCGGAACTACAAGTCCCATGTGGGGAACTACAAGTCCCATGATTGCAGCATTAGTGCCCCACAAATGAATGGTGTGCTCCACTATGCCCACCAAAAGTAACAGGGGGTATGATTTCGGCCCTACAACATTCTCCTGTAGGCAGTGGTGTATTTACTGAGAGGCAAACAAGGCATTTGCCTAGGGTGGCATTTTTTAGGGGGGAGCTGCCCCCCCCGAAGAAAGGACATGGTGAGCCTTGCGAGACTGACAGCTACAAGCATGACTCCCAAAGGCAGAGACATGATGGGACTTGTAGTTTCTCAACAGCTGGAGGGCCACCAGTTTGACACCTGTGCTCTTGCAGTATCCTGAGAGAGTGTTAACACCCACATATGTGTCATTGCTCTCTTCGGGCTTGTTCTCACGTGCTTTGAAGAACTATCCGTGTTTGGATCACTCTTCAGAGAACATTTAACAGGCGGTAAGGAGGCATTGTATCACTTTCTCACCAACTGATTTAACCCCTTGATTGCCGCATTAGTGCTCTGTGATCGCATGCTTTGCTTCGCTATGCACACCAAAAGTAACAGGGGGTATGATTCCAGCCCTACAACATTCTCCTGTAGGCAGAGGTGTATTTAATGTGAGGCATACAAGGCATTTGCTTATGGTGGCATTTTTTAGGGGGGCGCTGCCCCCCCCCCCAGAAGTAGGGACCTGGTGAGCAGGGGCAGACTGACCATGAGAGGCTCCTGGGAGGACGGAGTAGGTGGGTCCAGTCCTGAGAGGAGAGACTGACAGAGACCAAAGGAGCCCGGGGAGGAGGACACTTCCAGAATCGGTGAGAGAACTAATGGCAGGGGTGTGCATCAGTGCAGAAACAGCAAACCCAAATGTTCCTGCGCTTAGGGATGGACTCAGTATAGACTAGGACCACATCACGAATGTCCTGGAATATGCACACCTTGCTGCCCTCAAAGGACCAGGGAAATCCAAATGTACTGAATGGAGACAAAATATATTTAATGAATGATAAAACACTTAGGCCCCATGTACACAGGACATTTCTGAATGATGGAAACTGACTGCTGGAAAACGTAGGTTAAAAAACGTCTGTTTAGCCCGCGTTTATGAGCGTTTGCGTTTAGAAGCGTTTTTTTTAAAGAGAAGCACAGGAGAACCTCCCAAATGCCCAGAATGCACTGAAAAGTGGTAAATTATGAACTATTTCAGACTGTTTCAGAGAAACACAGAGAGTAGATGCAGAGACAGCAGTATGTGTTGAGATTAGCTTAGGTGTGAGTTGCTCATTAACATTTCTTTTGTTTCCAAGGGTGGAAAGGTGTCTGGTGGAGGGAGTCATTAAGGCCACCTGGCAGGGGGTCTTCATGAGGAATTTGAGGTGTGAATGGGTCATTAACATATATTTTGCTTCCAAGGGTGGGAGAGGTCTGAGGTGTGAATGGGTCATTAACATATATTTTGCTTCCAAGGGTGGGAGAGGTCTGAGGTGTGAATGGTCATTAACACATCTTTTATTTCCAAGGGTGGGAGAGGTCTGAGGTGTGAATGGTCATTAACATATCTTTTGTTTCCAAGGGTGGGAGAGGTCTGAGGTGTGAATGGTCATTAACCTATCTTTTGTTTCCAAGGGTGGGAGAGGTCTGAGGTGTGAATGGTCATTAACATTTCTTTTGTTTCCAAGGGTGGGAAAGGTGTCTGGTGGAGGGAGTCATTAAGGCCACCTGGCAGGGGGTCTTCATGAGGAATTTAAGGTGTGAATGGTCATTAACATATCTTTTGTTTCCAAGGGTGGGAGAGGTCTGAGGTGTGAATTGGTCATTACAATGTGTGACAAGCTTGGTAGGAACATCCTGTGTTCAGTGTTTTGTCCATCTGAGTACCTTGAAAACGCTTTGCGTGCATTTTTCATGATGAAAAAAGGCTCTGGACAGGGAACTGGAAGAGTTTAAAAAAATTTCAAATGCCAAAGCTTATAAACACGATTTGCCGCATTACAAGCGGTTTGCGTTTGAAACGCTGATAACATCGACGTCTGAATGCAAGTTTGCAAGACTGTAAACTCAACTGCCTGTAAATGCCTGTAAATGAAGATGTGCAAATGGACACATAGGAAAACATTAGGGTGAGTTCAGGGGCTGCTGAAAAAAAACGCTGAACATCTCCTGAACGCGAGTTTAGCAGCTGCAGTGTACATGAGCCCTTCTAAGAGTCCTTCCTTAAAAAGGAAGTCACATATATGTCACTTCAGAAATACGATCATGGTAACTACTTTCAGGTAAACTTTGCAACAGTGACTCACTGAGCACACTGCAGTTCCACTTTGATGGCTGTGGGGGGGGGGGGGAGCCCTTTAAGTGACCTGTCTATTTCCTTTCATGCTCAGCCTTAATGACTGCATGTACACACTGGCATGTTTGTTGCACTTAAGAGGGCAATGCTGGATGAGCCTGGGGCGTATTTTCCGCCGCTGTACAGAATCCGTGGCTGCAAATTCCAGCCCTGTCACCCCCCCGCAGGGACAGAGAAATCTGTTCTGTGACTTCCAGTAGCCCGGGCCGGCGATACAGTCATTTTCACTGTGTTGTTGCTCTTACAGCTCCTAACATTATTTTATCGGGATAACTGCTGAAATATCTTGCAGCATAATGATGTGATGATGTCCCATTCAGCGTCGAGCTGGAGCTATACACCCGGTCCCCTTCAGGACTCATTGCATTCCTGCTACAGAGGTTTCAATCAAAAGGCGCCTCCTCTGAGCGATGAAGTTTTTTTACACTTGGGAGAGAACGATAATAACCGTCTCTCATGGATGAAGTAGCCGATTTGTATTAGGCTCGCTGCATGCCTGACACTTTCCCTATTACTGCAGCATTAAAAGACCCCACGGGGAAGAGATGTCACAGCCAGCCTGCCGCTAACTGGTGTCATTACAAGCCGCTGACAAGCATGCTGTGACAACACGCAGCCGCCGCTCTTTATAACCCGCCGAATATCGCTGCCTTCTTTTTACTATTTGTAAACAGTCAATAAAACAGGAAAGAGCAAAGCCGTGCGCCGAAAAAAAACCTAGAGAAGAGCGAAACGGTTATCTGACTTGGGAGACAAAAAAAAAAGCCGCATAGAAGGGAGGCGAGGCTTAATAACCAGGAAGAATACCAGCCGCTGAAAATGGGGCGCAAATTCGACTTGTAGACAACCACGCAAATTCCTCAGCACATTTATTTCCGGTACTTACATAGCGCCGTCAAATTACATATATATTGTACATTCACATCAGTCCTTAACCCTCAAGGGGCGTACAATCTAAGGTCCCTATATATTGTACATTCACATCAGTCCCTAACCCTCAAGGGGGCGTACAATCTAAGGTCCCTATATATTGTACATTCACATCAGTCCCTAACCCTCAAGGGGCGTACAATCTAAGTCCCTATATATTGTACATTCACATCAGTCCCTCAAGGGGCGTACAATCTAAGGTCCCTATATATTGTACATTCACACAGTCCCTAACCCTCAAGGGGCGTACAATCAGGTCCCTATATATTGTACATTCACATCAGTCCCTAACCCTCAAGGGGCGTACAATCTAAGGTCCCTATATATATTGTACATTCACATCAGTCCCTAACCCTCAAGGGGCGTACAATCTAAGGTCCCTATATATTGTACATTCACATCAGTCCCTAACCCTCAAGGGGCGTACAATCTAAGGTCCCTATATATTGTACATTCACATCAGTCCCTAACCCTCAAGGGGCGTACAATCTAAGGTCCCTATATATTGTACAT